AAAACCCCCCCACCACCATCTTCTCCTCCTGCTCCCATCTTCCTCGCCCCTCTCCTCCTCGCCCCTCACCTTGAGAGCAGGAAATCGGCATTGGGAAAGAGATCCGCCATGTGGTTCTTGAGCATGCGCAGGTCGTACTGGTTGCCCTGGAAGCCATGGGCGAACACGTAGAGATGCATCCCGTCCTCTAGCGTCTCGTTCCCTCCCCGCAGCTGACTCATCGTCTTCAGCTCCGCTGCGAAGAAGCGAGGAGGACAGTTGCTGCTGCCACTGCTGCTGCTGCCTCCCCGACCTATCCCGCCCTCCGGCCCGCCAGGAGTTGGCGAGAGGTTGGGTTTCATCTTGAAGTGAGGAGATGAGCAAATTTCAGCTGCAAGCGACTCCCCATCCACCTCCTCCTGCTCCCCTTGGTCAGCGCGGCCATGGGGCGACAATCGTTCCACCTCCTCTGCATGCTCTCCCCTCCCCGCGTTGCTCGGCGACCAGTCGACGCCCCTCGTCGCCTGCAGCAGCGCCTTGTGCACGTGAACTTGGGTCTTGGGGCCTTCCTGCGAGGAGGGCGAGCGGATTCCTGACTCCTGAAGCATCCGAGACAGATCTCCAAACATCTCCGTCGACACGCCCGCTCGCTTGTAGTCGAAAATCCTCTCGCTCCCGCTCTCCGTTCGAGGGATACGGCCCCCTCCTCCACCACCGCCTCCACCACTAATACCTCCGACCCCTCCTCCTCCTCCTTCCTCTCCCCTCCTCCTGTTGCCATCCTGCACCTGCCTGAAGATCAGGACCCCGTTGTTCTCGTCGATCTTGCAGGAGATGTCCTCGAAGGGGCTCTGCTTCCACCCTCCCTTCCCCCTCTTCCGGTGCCGCCGCACCAGCGCGTCATGCGCGCGCATGCTGCGAGAGGAGTCGAAGTGGATGCAGCTTTCCACCTCCTCGGTGAAGGTGGTCTCCTCGAAGCGGTCCTGGAGGATGCGAGCGCTGCTGACCTCCGTGCTCACCATGAAGGCAGGAGCGATTTCGGGGAACACGTCGAAGAACGCGAGCCAGAGCTTCAAGACCTACAGCCAACCCTCACCTGCCCTCCCATCTCCCTATGTCCCCTCCTCCTCTTCCTTCTCATCCCCTCCAGCTGCTCTCCTCCCCCCGCCCCCTCAGCTCACCTCTTCGGTCATGCGCTTGAAAGCCCCAGCAGAAGCAAGCAGGAGAGCCTTTCCTTCTCCGCTCGTCTTCGCTTCTTCCCGTACCTGGTGAGCCGCGTCGCGTAGGATGAGAGAACGGCGCTGCTGGTCGTTGGCGAGACACTCGGACAAAACCTGGAGACAACCAGGTAAGGAGTGGACGGATCGAGGTCAGAACGTCAGCACAGGAGGAGGAGGGAGGGATGGAAAAGGAAGAGGGAGGGAGGGGAGGGAGGGAGGGAGGGAGGTTCCCAGCTGGCGTCCTGCTGATCTCCTCCTCGTTGACCATTCCTGCGATTTCTCGGAGTGCAAGTCGAAAGCTCAATTCTCCTCGTGAAAGTGCAGACAGACACTGAAACAAGAAACTTCAAAGACGGGCAGGAAAGGGCAGAAGAACAGGATTTCTGTCAGGAGTGGAGGAGAAGAAAGGAGCAGAGCAGCCAGAGGGAAGGAAGAGAAGAGAAGGAGAGGAGGAGAGGAGGAGAGGAGGGGAATGCGAGTCAAAGACCTGCATGACGAAGTCGAGGTTCGTCTCCGCCACGGAGGGGAATCGATCGCCTGTTCTCTAACAGTCAAAACCTGATCCTCCTCCTCCTCCTCCTCCTCCTCCTCCTCCAGAACCTCCTCCTCCAGAACCTCCTCCTCCTCCTTCAGAACCTCCTCCTCCTCTTCAACTACTCACTGCTTTCACTCGTCGTCTTCCCGCCTGCATTCTTGCTGCCTGTGCTGCTGCTGCTTGTGCTGCTTGCATCCGACCTCCCGCTCCTCTCCGTGAGCCCATCTTTGCTGTTCACATAGCGACGCTCCTCGTTCTCCAGCCCCGTCAGCAGAGGAGGAAAACTCTTGCCTCCCGTCTCGCACGCGAGAAAATTCGGGTTGCCAGTGAAGGTGCCGACGACAGGAGGAGGAACCTCCTCCTCCTTCCCCTTCTTCCCCTTCTTCTTCTCCGGCTCAGGGGGGATGAACATGCGAGGAAGCAGCTCGCAGCGGCCGGCAGTGAAGCAGCTGAGCACGCAGCAGGCGTAGGCCTCGACGATGCAGGTGTGCATGTCGTCGAAGGTGAGGTGGCAGTGACCGAAGCAGCCCTGCTGCGATGGAAGGAAGCGAAACTTGTGGGTGGCGACTTGGAGGAGGCGGTTGAGGGTGGGAGGACCGTCCTGAGCTCCGAGAGCCCGGGCCTTGTTGGGCTTCTGGAACAGAAGCTCGAACTGAAGCACGCAGGGCTCGAAGACAAAGTCGTTGGGTACAGGAAGCTCAACGTCGAAGGTGACGGCTTCGTTGATTTGATGCGTCTCCTCTCGGTAGCGGATGTAGAAGGAGCTGCAGCGGAAGGAAGAGTCCTCGTCGTTGATGCCTCCTGCGGGCCAGGACTCGGTCAGCAGGGCAGGAGAGCGGCTGCCGTACCTGAGTATGCGGGCGAGCCAGACGCCAAGGGTTGCGTGACGTGTGCGTTGCTCTTGAAGGAAACAGCCATGAGGAGAAGAACGATGGAGAGAAAGAGCAGAGGAAGAGGAACAAGAAAGTGAAGGAGGAAGGTGATGAAGTGGGAAGGAGGGAAGGAGGATAAGAGCAGAAACCTTCTCGATGAACTTCGTCGGTCTTGCCGCGCGGTTAGTCGTTTCCGAGTAGACCCTGACACCTGCCCCTCATGGTCACGAGGACATGGCTGTCATCTCATCGCATTCTTCTCACCTATCGCGTACTCGCCCTGATGGAACAAGTCGAGGTTCCTGAACCCATCCAGATGCACCAGCACCTGGAAGTGCGCGAACATCCTGGCTGAAAGTCTTTTCTGCCTTGATGTGTTGCAACCCTCCTCCTCTGTTGACAAGAGCAGCCTCCTCCTCTTCAGCTCAGTCTCTGGCTCTTTCTCTCTCTCTCTCCTTCACCCTCTCTGCTGCTCCTCTTCCTCTTCCCTTCTCGCCTCGACTCCTCATGTCCTCCCTGCCATCTCCGCAAATATTTTCTCCTACTTTACTCAACTGGTAGGCAAGCACCTTGAAGAAACCCGCCCCAGAGTCTTCACACTAAGAAAGATCCAAGGCAGCTCTTATCTCCTACTCACAACGGACTCGGAGATCACACTGACGGGCGGCCGGGCGGCGGCTCAGCCTCCGAGCCGGACTCCGGGAGGCTGGCTAGAGAAGTTGAACTTTGGCTTGTCCTGCCAATGCGTGCGGCCATTCGTGATATCTATTACCACTGCTACAGAAACTTGCAGTCGGTGCTATCACTGTCTACTTCGGGTGTCATTGCCACTGTGTCACCGTCTGTGGAGAGAAGGTTACTGGGAACTTCAACATTCGGAACCGTCGGCGGGGCCCGGTCCGACCGTCGGGCCGCCGGGCCGCCGGGGCTCAGCCCGACTGTCGGAGCCTGCCTCCTCGGAGCCGCTGGACTGAGCCTCGGTGTCACTCTCCTGGCAGCCCTGACGCGGCGCCGGGCCCGGCCCGCGGCCGGGCCGGGGCCACCGGGACCCGGGCGTGATGGCGTGATCGTGACCGTACGGCAGTTTGATCCGATAGGCTCAGGGCATGCCTTGGCTCAGTCACGGCAACACGGGCCAGGCCCGCGCGGTGAGTGATCGGACGGTCCGACCGGGTCACGGTGCCACGGTACCCGGCCGTCATTCACAGCGGCTGCAGTGCCGTGACTGGCAGGGTCCGGGCACGCCACGGTCCGACATCATAGTGCTGCAGTGCCGCCCCGCCGCCGGGTCCGCCGGGGCGGCGGCGCCGCCGCTCAGTCGGGAAGCATAGCCTAGCCTAGCGTGCGGCAGTGCGGCAGTGCCATGAATCGGAGTCGGGGGGGGCCGGTCACTGAGCTCATGAAGTGATAATTTTAGTTATCGACTTGACATGCCACTGACTGAGTTGTGCGAGCTGCCAGCGAAGGCTGAGGCAGAGGAGGAGGCGGCGGCGCCTTCGAAGGATCCAGCGGCAGCAGGATGCGTCAGGGAAGCGTGGCGATGCCGTATAGCTCGAAACCCTGCTGAGAGTTCAGAACGAGGAGGGAGAGGAACTTGGACTCG